AGTGGATCGGCCTTGTCACACACCCTGCGCTATGGCTCGCTTCTCATTTTCGTTACCCTCCTCCTGCTGGCTCCTCCAAAAAGTCCTGAAGGGAATGACCCTTTGAACTCCACCCCCCAGAGGTGTGCAGGATGATCACCCACACGGGCAGCATCGGCCCAAACTCTGGGTGCAACCGTCCCCCAGGCAAGTGGTGTCTTCATCCAGGGACACAAGGCTTTGAATGCATTTTGGAAAATAACACAGACATCATATCTTGCCCTGTTATTCTTCCAACATTTTAGAAACCTCCCCCTTTAAAAATACACACATCTCCATAAAGAGCTGAGCAGACTTACGGAGACTTGGGCTAAGGGTGGAGCTGAGTACTAGAGTACTTGCCTTGAACATGCAAGGCCGTGGTATTGATCCCTAGCACTGAAAAACATTTTTTTTTCAAAAACATGACTGAGGATTATTAAATGAAAAACTAGTTTTGTTTTTTAAAAAACTCTTAAAAATAAAGATTAAAAAATGACTGCTAAACAGACGTTTTATTGCACCTTTAAACATATCCAAAAAGGGAAATTATTGTTCAAGGGATAAAGCCCCAGTGTTCCAAAATGTCACAAGACACAGCTCATCCAGTAACCCTAAAAAAGTAACCTTCCTACCTCCAGGAACATTGACACACCCACAAAAAACATGAGACAAACATTGGGAACTCTCAGCATAAAGCTGTAAGTCATGATGAGAAGTGATGTCCAACCTGTATGGTAAGGTGAGATCAACATACGAACATGACAGAGGAGATTCTACGAAGATGTCTTCCCTCACATGTTAATTTACTCTGTGAAGTGTGTATGTGTGTGTGTGTGTGTGTGTGTGTGTGTATATATATATATATATATATATATATTTTTTTTTTTTTTTTTTTTGATACCGGGGATCAAACTCCGGACCTTGCACTTTCAAGACAGGCGGTGGAAACACTGAGCTAAATCCCCAGCCCTTCTGTGAAGTATATTGATGGGAAGTCCCTCATACTTCCTGATTTCATGTCACTTAAATTCATACATGTACACCTGGCTGTATATAAAAACATATAATAAAATAATGAAAATGAAGATGGGAACCATGTCGATAAGATAGAGTGTTCAGGCAACATCATGATTTTCCAGCTATTATCATTATTAGATTTTTCTCTTTAGTCACCTTGAGTTTGTTCTTTAGCCAAACTTGCCACAGTCAGTGATGAAGTAAAAAAGAAAAAGAAGTGAATGAGCCTCCATTACCATCCCATTACACTACTCAGATGCAGCCATTATGTAGGTTGATTACATAGAAATATTGATGTTAAAAAAAAACTGGGTCAACTTTGTACCTGATTAACAGACACTTTTAAAGAAATTAATTTATCATGAAGTTTTAAAAGCCTAAATTACTAATTTTGTATGTCTTCAGTAACTGTCTCCTGGGAAAAAGGCCACAGAGTTCCCTCAAAGAACACAGAACTGTTAGCAGTAACTGTAGGTTCCAGAAGATGAGAAATAGAGGGGGAAGGAACAGAGATGAAGAAATACAACAATTATAAAGTAGTATCAATCAAGCGCATCACCCTTACAATGTTCCAAGCACCATTTGAAGCACCTGACACCTGTTTAACATTGACAATCACACTGGGGTAGGGCTGATGACTATATTCACTTTTGTAGCGTGTGTGCATGTGTGTGTGCGTGGGTTTTTGAGACAGGCTCTTGCTATGCTGACCAGGCTGGCCTTGAACTTGCAATCCCCTGCCTCAACCTCCCTAGTGCTGGGGTTACAGGCATGTTCCACTTGTTTTACATGTGAGTCACAGAGAAGCTAGGTGAGCTGCTGGATCACACAGCCAATGGGTGGTGCAGCTGGAGTCTGAACCAGGTGGTGAGGCTGCATGGTGGACCTTAACACAGTCTGCCTCATCACCCACTCCTGGGTGACACATCTTCTCGTCTCACCTGCACAACATTATAAGGTGGGCAGTATCCAATTTACAGTTAGGTTGTGGGGGCATTGTGTAATAATTAAATGGCAGGAGAAGCCTATGACAATGATCCGTGGACAGCCAAGTTTACAGCAGCACAGTTTATAATAGCTAAATCTTGGAAGCAGCCTCTATGTCATCAACAGATGAGTGGATAAGGAAAATGTAATATTTACATGCCATGGAGTACTACTCTGCCATAAGGAAAGATAAACTTGATTCATTTGTAGAAAAATGGATGCACCTTGAGACCATAATGTTAAGTGAAATAAATCAGACACACAAGCTTACATATTGGATACTTTCTCTTATATAAGAAACACAAAGAGGGGTGGGGATTTAGCTCAGTGGTGCCATGCCTGCCTCCCAAGTGCAAGGTCCTGAGTTTGATCCCTGGTACCCGGGTGGGGTGGTTGGGGAGACATATAAAGTATAAACAAATTAAAGAGCAAAATAAAAGATAGATAATTGGAAACACGGAAATAGATCTTTTGTAAATGGAAGAGGTGGAGGGGGAGGGAGAGAGAGGAGGGGAAGAGGATGTAAAAATCCGTAAGATGTGTTATGTACAAGTGCTAACTTCCCACGAGGAATGGGATCACTATGTACTGCCAACACGGACTAATCAAAATAAAAATTAAAAAAAAAATAGCAGTGAAGCTGAGATTCCAAGTGAAGGTTTCAGCCTCCAAAGCCCAAAGAAAGAGGAAGATGAAGAGGAATTTCCTCAACTAGACTAAAGAGACACCCAGTCCCTGTGGCTTTTCAGCAGATTGGCTGGAGATAAAGGATGAACCCTACTCGGGCAGGGGAGTCGGTTCTGCTCTCAGCCACCAATCCCAACCTTACTACAGCCAGTGACACACCGAGGGCCCCTGCACATCCTGACACTTTTCACTCAGCACAGCCCTCACCACACTTGACAGCTCTTTTCACAGCTCGCTCCCATTTCCCAGGGGCATACTGTGTGCTAGGCAGGTGCTGTTCGAGGGGCTTGGAGTGTGTAAGTGAAAGAGAGCAGGATCCTCACTCCCTGCTGAGTTAGCTCTGGGCCCCGGCACGTGGCGGAGTGCCTTGATTCTCAGTTCATATTTACTGAAGAAATAAATGAATTAATTAGGAGCAGCAGGTAGAAGCCAGAGGTGGCGGACGGAGACTACAGAGAAAAGCAAATATTTGATTCTAATCTATTAACTACTGACATTTATTAAAATCTTAATGTGCTTTTGATTAATAAGGATGATCTTTCTATCACTTAACTCATGTTTAAAAGCAGAACTGTCACTGAGGATATTTCGGTTCCCAGAGTGGCCATGCTGCAGGTTCTGAAGGAGAGCCCGTGATCAGGGTGCAGCACTCCTCTCTTCGTCAGACTCTAGTTGCCAATTCCAGCCCCCAGAGCTCAACCATGTTTACTGCTTTCCAGAGGGTGCCTCTCCAACGTGTGTTTTCTCCCAGGAATTAGAGGCATTTGTCTTAAAGCTCATTTCAGTTCTTGCAGTGGGGTCACAAGCTGCCATCCACACTGTTATCGACTCCCTCAATTAGAGGGAATGGCATTTCACATCCATGCAAAATATTAGTGAATTAACAGTCCCCTCTCTGCATTCATTTGGGAAATCTGCTCTGCTTGTGATGATGATCATGCCAAGCAGGGAGTAATCAGACACTGGTAATTCCGTCAGGCCCTGCAAACATCAATTGAAACTCGAGCTCTGCACCTTGAGGTTGAGCTTTGGTCTGCAGGGTTAATGTCCTCCTTCGGGACACAGGGCAGAGGTCAGCCCTGGTAACTGCTGGGAGAAAAAAATATACAACAACCCCAACAAAAAATAACCACAAACACAATCACCCCGATTTTCTCCAAATCTTTCTTATTACTTGACATCTATTTAAAACCAAAAACTGAACTCTGGCATGGCGAACAATTTTCAGATCTGATTTGCAGCTCTCAGAGATGACAATTTGGTCTCAAAGAGCAAATTGCAATCAATAACACTGTGAAGAGATCAGTCACATGGCATGACTGTCTCTTTCAGGATTAAAGGGTGTCTCAGTCTAATGTGGAGAATTTTAACCCAGGAATTCTGAAGTCGAAGGAGTGAGGTGGATTTGCCTAGTGTGTGTGAAAGACGTCTTATACGCATCTCTATGGGGCTGTGCAGCTCCACCAGGCTGTGTCGGGCCTGCTGCCAGCCAGCTGTCACCAGGCTGCAGTGGATTTAGTGTCCTCTTGCACAAAGGGCTTTCCTCAGATGGCCAATTATCCTCTTTTTCTCCCTGTGATTTAATGCTTGAATCTGGCATTGTGGGGCATCAGGAATTGGGCTGAGGCTTCACCTCTAATGTTCAAGATTCTAAAAACAGCATCAAGTAATGATTCCATGCCATCCCTCATTGGCACATTAAGCAAGCAAACTAACCATTTAGGAAAATGTTCATATTTGCACTGTGTCTCTTACTATTTGCATTGAATCAAACTAGCAGAAAGATTCACACCTCCCATTTCATATTTCTTTATGACAAATCAAACCCTTAGAAAATTTCTGGATCTCATTTCTGCACACAGTACCTTCTAATAAGCAAAGGCTACCTTAGAATTTAAATCTACTAGAACACCACAGCAGCTGTCATTCCGCTATCAAGTTTAGGAGATTTTCAAACATCTGACAAAATGGGCAGATACTGCTTAAAATTACCCAAGTAGTTAACTTCAAAATACTTTTTTTTAAACCTAAGGGCCATAGAATCCTAGACAAGGTTAAAATTTATTATCTTTTGCAAGAATCAACTAAACTAAAATGAAAGGTTTTTTTGGCCATTAACCCTACACAAGGCTCATCAGGTCAAAATGATTTTTTTATTTTTATTGGTTCTACCCCTCCTCCCCAAGCCACTTTTTAAAGTAAACGGGATTTCTAAATGTGAACACGGACTAATTAGAAATTGGAACCATCCTCCTGGTATTGGAGGAGAGAAAATAGAGCTGACTTACAGTCACGATGAGCCCCTTTTCATGGAAGTATTTAACCAAGGGCGCGGCATTCTGCTTGAAGTTCACGAGTCTCCTTTGCGTAGCCTTCAGGTTGTCATCGGGCCGCCCCTGCTGTTCGGCCCTCTTCAGCAACCTTTCTTTGAGCCGCTGGTTGGCACAGGTCAGGAAGACCACCAAGTCAGGAGTACAGATCTGTGGGCATCAGACAAGCAGAGGGCATCAACATCCTGACCAGGTCAAGAGAGGGCAGTGGCATGCGTCTCTGCTTCTGTTGATACTGTCATCTATTTGGCCTTCTAGTTTTTGCCAGTACATTTCCTGGGCTGCCATTCTCCAGAAGGCCCAGGGTTGGCTGATCCCATTATAGTTCCTGTGAATGGCATCCTTCACCCACGTGGCCACACACAGGGCTCCTTTGCACCTCAGGAAACACTTTTTGGTCTCTGCTCATATATATTCCCAGGTGAAATTAAGAACAATACAGGCCAAACTTTGCCAAAAATCTATGTAACCTGATTTTGGAGGGGAGATGACTTTTGGGTTACAGATGCTGTCTACCACAAACATACACTTCTGTTCTTACCATCTGCAGTCATTTAAAAATGATCCCCTGTATGCCCGGCCGAGTGAGTGTTAAATCATCTCCTGGACTTGGCAACAATCTGTAATGTAAATATTCTTTCCATTGTATAGGAGAGCAAACTGTGGCTCTGAGAAATTATATACTTGTCTGATCACATGGTAAGGCAGAAGGTGCTACTTAAGCCCAAGTCTGTTTGATGTATGGCCTCTGTTCCTTCCACTGTTACAGAGCACCAGGAAGCCCAAAGGCTTTCACGAATTTCTGCAAATACCGTGGAATGACACAGAAAGAGCCGATGGAATAAACAGCTTTTATTGTACTACAAGAACTAGTATTGCACTGAAAAGGTGACCAGACACATACAGGAAATGGGAGTTTTTTGTTGAGTATGGGACAGGGCTGAAAGGCAATCTGCCATGGTAGCTCGAAGCAATAACCCCCCAAATTTTAAATTATATCTTCACACTAGTAAATATTGGGGGCTTATACCCTAATAAGAATATTCTTGTTAACTTATAAATAATGCATTTATATGATATGCATGTATTGCCTTCCTAGCCTAGAATGCACATTATAAAATATACACAAAAATGAAACATTTTTAAAGTGAGGTGCAATAATTGTAATTTTAAATATTTCCTTTCCACATCACACTGCTTTGCCTTGCGCTCTCTGGAAACTGCTAGTTAGAAAACAGACTTGGGTGGCTGGGAGATGAGAACTGCAATTTTTGCCCCAGGACTTATCAGCTGAGTGATGGGCAGGTGGCTGAACTTTGCTAAGCCTTTGTGTCCTCATTTCTCAATAGAGATACAGGAAAGCTACTCCCTCTGACTTAGGGTGAAGATTAAAGAAAAAATGCACAGCACAAACTCAGTGCATTTTAGCCACGTTAGTATCTCAGTTTTCATGGTTCTTTGTGGTCCTGGTTCTCCTCTACCTTCTTGGTTTTCATTTTGTGGGTTTTTGCTTTGCTCACATTTTTCCTCCTCCAAACCCAAGTAGAGATATTTCCCAGGGCTTAGATCACACTTCTTCCCTCTCTGGGTTTTCATTCTCACAGTGCCTTCCACTGTTTTAATTTTACTCCCTTGTGTGGATGGATTCCAAATACAAATCTTCACTGCTGACTTTCAACAGCCCCTTCGTGCTGTATTTTCAAATCTCTATGTGACAGGTCTGTTTGGAAGTTTTTAATGTACCTGGGATTCAGCAAGGGCAAAAATTAATCTCAGTACCTTCTGAACCTAAATCAAACTCCTGTCTTATGTATTTGCTTATTTATTTTTATGGTAGCAACTCTCCTTCCCTAACTCTCTCAGCTAGAAGCCTTAGTCTTACAGTATTATCTCTAACCTGCCTCATCAATCACTGCTGCCTACCAATTTTGTCTTTGAAATGCCATCCAGATTCAAATTCAATTTTTTCCAATGATTTTAAAGATCCAAATGTACAGGGTTAAGTGATACAGAATCTAGAAGATGAAATATAAGAAAATAGCTTCTAGATCTTAGGGTGGGCAGGATTTCTTAAATAAGACCTATACAACTGTAACTATAAAAGAAAGAAGTTCACAAACTGGATTGCTTTGAATATTAAAAAACTTTTTTATTAAAACACACAACGATGGGCTGGGGATTTAGCTCAGTGGTTTCGCTGCCTGCTGCACAAGTGCAAGGTCTTGAGTTCGATCCCTGGTACCAAAAAAACAAAACAAAACAAAACACACAAAGACTATGAAAACATCAGCTATACACTGGGAGAAGATCTTTGCAATACATATAATCAATAAAGGACTTATTTCAAAAAACATGAAAATAAATCTTACAAATCAGCAAGAAAAAATGGTAGAAAAATGGGCAAGAAACTTGAATGTGTACTTTTTTATAGACAAGGATGGCCATGTAATTAAATTGAAAAGGTGCCAACATCATTAATAACCCAGAGAGTGCAAATTGGTAAGGTTTGTGTTTAGATGTCCCCCCAAAGCCTAATGCAGATGAGGTAAGGCTTTCTTTTTCAGAGGTAGTTGAATCTGGAATGTGTGATGCTGGGGTTAAGGGTGTGTGATTGCTAAACTACTACATGTGAGCAATTAGTTTGGCACTGCCCTAATCCCAGTAGGGTGAATAAGATAAAAGGGGCAGAAAGATGCTATTAAATGTGCCATGGTGTTTCTCCTCTGCGATGCCTGTTTGTGATTCCAGCCTTGGAGCCAGCTGATTATGGACTGAAACCTCTACAAACTGTGAGCCAAACTGTAAGCCCCTGTACAAACTGTAAGCCCCTTCCCTTCTAACTTCGGGTGTTGGGTATTTTGTCTTAGCAACGAGAGAAAAGTAACTAACACACCAATCAAAATGACATACCCACCAAAAAGGTGAAAAAAAGATTTTAAAAAGATCAACAAGGACACTGGCAAGGATGCACAGCAACTGGAGCAAGTTTTCCATGATTCCCTGGATGGCACACTCAGAACCTCAGCAACAGTGTGCTACATTCTGTTCTAGGCACCAGGGATGGATGTGGAGCACAGGGCAGCCATGGCCTTGCCTAGGAGGAGCTTGGCCACCTGCAGGGGGTGAATCTGCACTGAAGAATCTCACAGATAGGTGTGACAATGTTATTATGTGAGGATGGGACCAAGGACACCTGGACAACACCTGAGGGGGAGGGAGATCCCACCTTATCTGGGATCTTATGGATGGCTCCTATGAGGAGAGGGAAACTGAGCTGCATGCTAAAGATGAGGAAGGATTAACTAGAGAAGAACGAGGAGGAAAGGATGATCATTCCCAAAGAATATAACCTACTAGCCTGGGCAAGCACAAGGGCCTCAGGGGAATGCAAGGCTCAAATTTCGTTGGAAGCCTGCAGCTCACTGGATGAGAAGGTTTTGGAAACCATCCTCCTGGAGAGGAAGTAAACAGTTCCAGAGCTCTTTTCTAGGAGAGTGGAATTTTGATTTGATTGATCGGAGTTTTCCAAAATAAATTTGATGCTGAGAGGTGGAAGATTCTAGACACTGGAACAGATGGACTGGGAGCCTGGTAAATACGAAGTTATATCTTTGTTTTCTTTGCCTGCTCTCTTTCCCTAATTAACATACATGGGCTCTGCAATCACATTGGCTTGGTTATGAACTCTGGCCCCTGAGGTATTTAGACCCCAGGTCCTGTAAGAAAAGACAAAAAGTAGGAGACTCCTTTCCTGTTCTTCTCCACCCCCCCGCTTCATCTTTGAGGAAAAAAAGACAGTGTGGCTAAATTTTATGAATGCAAGAATTTTCACTGTACTTCAGTGGCAGAGGAGTAGTTAATTATTTTCAAGAGACTGGAGAAGTCATATCCATCTCTCTCTCTGCTGTTCATCTTGCTTTGTGAATTTGCCTTTTTCTATACAACTAGTGAGATCTGCCAGACTTAATTCTCCAAAGGCCCACACCGGGCAGCCAAGCACTGGCAGAGTTCTGGTTCTCTGGCTCTGGTTCTTATTTTCTTCTCCTCTATGGTGTTGTCTGGATCAATATTTCTGTGACAGTACTGGGATAATCTGAGATTGAGGGTGTGGAGATTAGGGCTTGAAGAGGCCACCTTGCCTGCACTGGTCCTAGGCTCCAGGCTGCCTCTAGACAAAAGAAATGCTCTATGTGATTCAGGTACAAAGTTAGCAAAGAAAGTTTCATAGTGGAAGAATGTCTTGGCTGTTTCCCTCTGCCCCTGCATGTACAAAGAGTGACTGGGAATAGAGAGAATATTTAATTTAAAAATTACAGTAAAAGACAAATTGTCATTGATCCCCCCTCATAATACTCCACCTCACTGCAAACACACTTATCCCATGCTCTTGCCACTTTCTCAAGCAGTTCTAGAAGTCCTCTTTCCTAAGGGTCTTTATGGGTGTGATAAAAAAAAAAATAAGGTGAATGCTGCTGCCATGTGCCCTCTAATGGAAAGGTGGGCTCATAAAAACATTACAGTGTGTCCTCATCCATCTTTTTCATGGTGGCACCATGTGACTTCTGGCTCTTCCCCAAAGTCAAAATGATCACGAAAGGTAATTGTTTTGAATGGATTCAAGACATCAGGGCAGTATTTGACTTAGATCGTGATAGAAGTAGACTGAGGATAGGATTTGGTTGTTTCCTAAAGATCATTTTATTCTGTTCTGTTTCTACTGGTTTCCACTAAGTATTAGGCTGACAGGAGTAAGGCATTTTCCCTGGCCTTAAGCTAATAGTCTTATATGGGTGAAGAGGGAATCACAGGGGCAGGTTTGGGGAGATGATGGTCAAAGGGTATAAAATCTAAGTTACAAGGAATAAATTCAACAGATTTATTGTACAACACAGTGAATATAGTTAATAACAATGCATTGCATTCTTGAAAACAGATTTAAAGTGTTCTCTCTGCAAAAAGTGATACGCATGTGAGGTGATGCATATATTAACTACCTGGATTGAGCCATTCCATAATGGATATATATTCCAAAATACTGCACTATATACAATAAACATATGCAGTTTTATTTTTTGTGGTGCTGGACTGAGTCCATGGACTCATGCATTCTAGACAAGCACTCGACCACTGAACTACACTCCAAGCCCAGA